AATTTTCACCACATTAAATAGCTGCACAACACCCTAATTGTCGAAAAGGCGTTGCTTGCAACACTAGTCCTTTATGGGGACCAAACTTGGCGAAAAAAAAATAGCTAAGTTTGTTTACTGGATATACTGAGCTGGATATACTGAGAAATATACTGAAAAAGATGGAAGTTTCTAACTATGATGGTATTGTTATATACGTTAAGCCAATTTAGTATGCATGCAAAATATCTGTATTTCAGCGCTTAGAAAACAAGCACGGCATTTAGAAAATGAGATCGACTTGAAATTGGTTGCATTCAGTAAAATTGGTGCGGGCACCAGTACCTCACTACACAGCAGCTCATCTACAGACACATCACCATTGCTAGGAGAACACGTCTTCGATTCCTTATCAGAGGAGATTTCACAAATGTTGGACAAGGTAAGAAAACGTACATTGGAATACATCTGCCTTGCTACTTAAATACGTTAAGATATTTTTATTTCGCAGCTTTCAACGCTTAATGAAACAATGTCTGAGCTTCCTGCAACAGGTGCTGCTGCCATGCACACAGTTCAACGTCATCGTGAAATCTTGCATGGGTATAGGCAAGAGTTTAATAAAATTTGTGCAAATCACACGACACGCATCGAACGCGAAGAACTTTTGCGTGGCTCCGGATTGGCCACAAATAGTCCAACCATTTCTGGCCTAAGTAGACGTGATCTGTATTTAAAAGAAAGTACACATTTGGGCAGGCAAGTGAATAGCCTGAAATATTTGGAAAACAAAAATATAAATGTTTTGAAATTGAATACTAACTTTTATCGTTTCAGCTCAAGTAATATGGTCAATGATCAAATAAATATCGCAATTGAGACACGAGAACACTTGCTTTCGCAAAGACAGGCATTCAAACGAATGCAGACACGTTTTAATGACATTTCCAACAGATTTCCTTTGATTTCCAGGTAAGGTTTTATAGCATTGATTACATACACAGTCCATATTTAATGTTTTCCTACTGCAGTCTAATACAAAGAATCAATATAAAGAAAAAACGAGACTCTCTAATTTTGGGCGCAGTTATTGCTTTGTGTGTTATCCTGTTACTCCTATATGCATTCAATTAACGATCTTCCAAAGTGAAAAATTATGTTATTACGATTCTAATATAAAACTTGAACATTTCATGGCACTCAAATACAAATGTATGAAGAAAAGTAAACTTACCTATATTTTACAAAATTTTGGTTCGATTTCAATTAAATATGTTATATTTATAGGGCAATAACTAACTAATACTTGTATTGTAATTTGTGATAAAACAAAGTTTGAATAAAAGTAAAAAAAATAAATGATTAAGGCCCATTTCAATCGGATTCCTATGCCTAGGTTCAGACAGAGAAACTTTTGTCGCGGCAACTCGTTACTTGTGGGAGAGGGAGTGACGAGCAAGGGTTAGGGCACGGAGTTGCTCGTGCTCGGCAACACGCTTTGTGCTCTCGTTCGTCTGGCTAATTCTAGTTGGCCGTTCACAGCTAACAACATCAACTGTGTACAAAAGAATTGCTCTGTGTGAACGCGAAGGGCAACACCAAAAGAGAAGCTGCCGAAAATTAGCAACACAAGTTTCTCTGTGTGAACCCAGTCTAAACAGGGATGTAACCCCTTGGATTGTGGCATAATAATATGCAGTTGTAACAGCGTACAAATTCCCCAAAGACTTTTTGGGGAGTGTTGCTGTAGTGGCAGTCCTTGGCCAGATACAAATCTGGGTCGTTCTGGTTACGTAGACCGACTGTCGTGGGAACGAATAATGGCAATGATTAACCATGGTTCGACAATCAAAATTTACTATCGAATCATGGTCATGAAAAGGCCGTCGTATACGTGATACGAGTAAACTCGGCTGATTGTTTACAACTTAGAAGGCACTAAATTGCCGACCCACTTATGTGTAGCGTGTATGACAGTCGAACAGCTGCTTCAAACAGCTGATTCTTTTGACAGCTCACATGGATTATGAAAAAAGAAGGTATAATTTCCCATAATTGAGCTGTTTAAAATAAAAGATTTAAGTGAATTTATTTCTACATATATAACATGACAACTGCATCAGACTCACAGAAAAATGGTGATAAACGCGTGTTTTTTGAGAATGCCCAAATGGATTCAATGGCACAGCATTTTGTGGGCAATCTTTACAGGTATCAGAGTATTATTTGTACCTGTTTTTTAAATGAATTATTCAACCTCTCATCACAGATACCGCGAAAATATCGTGATACCAACGAGCAATGGGCCAATACAAATCAAAACCAACGAAGAGAAAATGATTGAGAAGACAGTGGAAAGCTGCGCCTTCAAGTCTATCACTGCCTGCGTGATGGGTAAATAGAAATATAAATATGTACATTGTATGTATTGTTCCTAAAAGACTTTCAAAAATGGTGAAAACCATTCCAGGTTACGGTTTAGGTGCTGCTATTGGTCTATTCAGCGCGTCGGTCAATCCAAGCCTCACAGATCCACTGCTGCACGAAAAGAAACAAAGCGTACGTGAAATTTTACGTGACATGCGTAAGACGACACATGGCTATGCGAAGAATTTCGCTATGATTGGAATGGTGTTCTCTGGTGTTGAATGCACGATCGAAAGTGTAAGTGTGGCCTTTTCTTGAATAAATATATTTTATAGTGTTTTATTCTTGGCTAGTATCGCGGTGTAACCGATTGGAAAAACGGCACATACGCGGGTGCAGTTACTGGAGGTTTGATTGGTTTGCGTGCTGGCTTGAAGGCAGGCATTGTTGGCGCTGCTGGTTTCGCCGCATTTTCCACAGTTATTGACTATTATATGCGACATAGGCTGTAGTGTAATTTGCAGAAAGGTACAAAGCGTAGCGAATATAGTGAGAACACAAATGTGTATACATATTAAACGAGCTGAAAAAATAACATTTAATATTACTGTTCTCAAATTAAACACACAATAGTTCAAGAAAGGCAAATCGCTTGCAAACAAAGAGCGGAAAACTGGAAATATACTTTGGTTTTATTTTAAAACTTTAGTTTTGTTTGTTATTGTAATTTTAAATAGTATCGTTGTATTAATATACATATGAGTAGTCCACTTGCAAAGTGCGCTATGTATGTACATTTTTTTCGTTTTCTAGTTTTCGGTGGTTAACGTACCAGTATTTAAAGTAGTTTTGCAACTTTTAAATCAGATTGTTTAGAAAATTTCTTCGTATGCAGTATTATAGCCCATTCAATTTTAGTAACGTTTAAGTTTGAAGTTGCTAAAAAATCACATTGACTTTTGGCAATTTTTTTCTGTTGGTGTAATTATTTCCTTCCATACAAAAAAGTGCAACATACTTTGAATAGAAGAAACTGCGGGGGAAAAAAATTGCCAAAAATCAACGCGGTTTTTTAACAACTCCGAACTTGCACTTTGTTATACTAAAAGTGAATGGGCTATAAAACTGCATATGAACTTAGAATTTTTCTAAAAACTCTGATTTAAAGTTGCAACTTAGTACGCAAATTTATTGAATTTTCCTGAGCTTTGCACAGAGTTAAGAGATATATTAAAGGTACACATTTAAAAGCGCAAAACTGTCCCAAACTGGGGAAATTGTGCAATTCAAAACCCTCGCAAATGAAATGTCAAAATTTTTATGCAAAGCTATTTGCACAGAAAGGGCAAGTTTGCGCGGGAATTTTGTTGCGCAAATTTGCGCAGTGTGATGTGCAACCCTCAGTCAACTATTTTGTTTACTTTCATTTTTATTTGTGCTCAACGGTTTTTTGTAAGACTTAATTTATTTATGTAAATACATTTGTTCAACTTTTCAACTTCAAATAAAAAATTGTCGCAAAGAAATTATAATAAAAGACTTTGCATGCACTGCGAAAAATTCTGTGTCATCTGAAAAATTTGAAACTTCATATATGTAAGCAAAAAACCTTTTAAATTAACATGGCTTTTTTAAGCATTTATGCAGAAAACCCGATCAAAAGTCAGATTTACCAATTGTTGCAAAAGTCCAGTAAAAGATACTATTCGTAAAGCTAAATAACTTATCTATTGAATGGTAGCCATGAAAACTGCCTTCGCTGATTTTCCTTTGGCATACGTCAAACTAAAAACAGTCAATAGTTGCGTTTTTTTTACAAATTATCCAGTAACATGCCAGCAACTCTCCAGTAACTTTATTTCTAAGAATTCGCTCTCAGATAAAAAATTTACAAAAAAGTACGTGAACGCTTTTCCAGTAATAATTTGCAAGTTTCATGAACAGCTGATAAATTGGTTGTTTATTCGCAGCATATTCCTAATAAAACAATATATTTTATATTTAAATATGTTTATTTTGTGAATTTCCACAATAAAATGCCAACAAACAGTTTCCTTATTAGTTTAAATTTCATCCAGCAACATGCGATCAGCTGTTTTTCGTACTGGCAAATTCTTACAAGTAAAAATTTATCCAGTAAAATCCAGTAAAAACTTGCAACTTCAGCTGTCATTTTGCGCTCTCTCAATTTCCCCAACTTTGCAAGTTTTTGCGTACGAAAACGCCAAAACATGAAATTTCGTAAAAACTTTTACTGGATTTTACTGGAAATGAGTAAAAAAACGCAACTAATGTTGCGATCGTTTTTTTCTTTCTCTCCACGCTTTCAGTTTTTCTACATGTTTCTTCGGTAATAGTGTTTTAGTGAAGACATATCGAGCCCTAACCGCCAAAATAACGTAAGCGACTTTTTTTTTTAATTTTCTTTTTGATGCAGAAATACATCTAGATGCTCTAGGAATATTTCTGCATCAAAAAGAAAATTTCGAAAAAAATGTCGCTTACGTTATTTTGGCGGTTAGGGCTCGATATTTCAAGAAAAAACCTTTTGAAAATGGAAGAAGAAGGCCATTTCTATCATTTAAGACTAAATTTAAGTAAATTGCTTTTAATATGGCCTTTTAGATAATTTAAAATCGGTCTATTTTTATATTTTTGTTGAATAATATTTCAAAATATTTGTATTTTCGTTTACTTGTCAAGGTTTGTCAAAAAAACACGATGAGTCGTAAAATTGTAATTTTTGGATTTTATTTACAGAAATGTTCAATGTATAGTTATAAGGAGAGTCGTATTTGTTAACAGGTATAAGTCTGACCCTTAATTTAGTATCAATTACGTAACGATTGAATACTATTTGTCAACGATCTATGAAAAACCCCGACCTATCGCTAGTTTTTCCTACTTTTTTCTTCATCTGTAAAAATAACTTAAAAATATAAGAACACGAATGCCGAAAAGTGTATTCGAGAGTCAACAGCTTTCATCGAAGCTGCGTACCCAAATTTACTGAATTGCATACCTTTCAACCTGAAAGTCCTCGGGAGATTCCTTGAAGGACTATGAAACTGGACAATAATGCTCTCTAATCGACTTCGGCGAGAACGATTGTGTCCTTAGAACAATTTACCGCTTTCCTCTTTTTATTTTAAGTTTTTTATTTAATTGAAATTGAAAAAACATCAAAATTTTTCTAACGAAAATTGTTGCATAATTCGCAGTTATTCGCAATCAAAAGCCGGTCTAAAAGGACGAAGTGCATATCCGAACTCGTCGACCTAAACATGCTCCAGCAAAACGAATTCCGTTCTTGTCTTTTTCTGAAAAAGTTGTTTGTGGACTTATGGTAACCGAATATAACCAAATATTTCACGAAAATGATCCTAAGATAAGTGTAATTAATAATTTGTATCCTATAAATCCCTATCATTATTAAATTTCATTTTTTATTTAATTACTGAGTAGAAAAAAACATAAAATAATTTTGATCGGTTTTACTGTGCTGTGTGTACATACATATGTATTTAAGTTTTGTTACGGAAGTGTATCCTGAGCGTTAAGTAACGATATATAAAACAAACGCTTTGAAATAAAGTAAATTAGAAGATTTTGCATAGACAATATTTTCCAAAACTAATTTAAATAGATAAACTTAATTTAACAGAGTTCATTTTGTATTTTTGATGTGAACACTACCGTATCATTGTAATTAAAATTATAGCTCTACATAGTTTTATTTCTTCTGATAAAAATTTCTGAAATTTGAATGAAACTTTGTTGGATTTTGTTTGTAGTTTTTTACAAAGTTTTAACCTTTGGTTTATACGGGTTTTGTAAGAGAATGAACTATACTTTAATTGAAATTTCTTAAAATTAAATAAATAAACATAAGTAACAATGTGACCAATACCGTATGCACATTAGGGCGGGTCAATTTGTATGGGAATGATTATATGTGTAATTAGAATTTGCCGAAGAAACCATGGGTCCGAAATCAATTTGGAGTCTGCCAAATTGCGAAAATATGTTTCTTAGCATTTTGCTGTAGTGTCGTAAAGAAATGCTAAAATTGTGTATAAGAACATGCTATAAGGGGTTTTCTGATATGAGGAATAAATTTCTGCACATAGCCTTTTCTTAATATGTCCACCAACTGAAAATTGGCTTAGAATTACACGCATAAACCTCCTATGCTATACGCGCAAAGTAAAAAAAA